TCAATGACAATTCCTGACATATTCCTTGTTGTACGCATTTTAGGTGTTGAATTGTTTGTAATTCAGAATCAAAATTGGGCAGGCTGATGTAAATCATTAATTATATTGTTACTGAAGGATATTAAATGTCGAAATTAATCGTAAGATTAAGAAATCTGTGTATCCCAAGAGATTGGATAGAATTCCTCCCTCTGTTGCATTAAAAACTAATTAAAATTATGAAAATTTCTGTCTTCTGGGTTGTTGCGCTGTGTAGTCTGGTCGATGTTAACCAACGTTTCAGAGGTCATACTGCCTCCGTCATCAGGGCGGTGAGTATTCTCCCTGATGACGGAGGCAGTATGACCTTTGAAACGTTGGTAAACATCGACCAGACTACACAGCGCAACAACCCAGAAGACAGAAATCTTCATACTCTGATGACGGAGGCAGTATGACCTCCTAAACGTTGGTTAACATCGACCAGACTACACAGCGCAATAACCCAGAAGACAGTCATTTTCTTACTATACGATAATTTATGGATTTATTATTCCTTTGTCCTTAATATATTTCTAACAATCAGTCCACGACTAACAACAAAATGGTAACCAACTCCCCCCCCCCCGAATTCAAAACCCCAAGATCATTTATAAGCATAGGGGTGCTAATCCCTTTCGTGGACAAATTCGTATTTCCCAAAATATTTTTTCCTATATTATATTTATTAATTTGAACTACCCTGTATCAGGAAATCACGTACGTTCTGCCCATAATATATTCTTACATCGTACTCCAAGGAGCGCTATTACACTCCTTACAGGTTCGAGGTCAGAATATCCCCCCCCACACACACACACACACAAGCTTGAAGAATCTCTGCAATAACTGCATAAGCACATTTTCCTCCGAGATATTCACCCTTAATACAAGTACTCTTCCTCACATTTTACACTTTCCAACCCTAACATGGGTTCTCCGTCTACAGCATCTCCCTCAGGGTCAGTCACCAGCTACAGCATCTCTGTCTAGCATACACTTTCAAAAACACTCAACCTATGCATAAATGTATGAGATAAAACTACACAATGACTCCATAAAATCGAGTACAGTAGGATCACAGATATCTCTAATCAAAAATACGTAAACCCGAACAAATTCTGAATTATGAATGAAGACCTAACGTCACATGTAATTTTATCATGATCGACAAACACCCCCAGACAAGGTAAACAGAAAACAGAAAACAGCAAAGTAACACTGTAAAAGCAGAACCTTCCTATTAATAACAAGATAAAAACAAATCCAAGTAATCAAGTTCATAACATAACAAGACATAACCTTCATAATATCCCTGAAATGTCACTAGGCCCTAGTTGGTTGCACTTGTTTGCCAACAACAAGAAACACTGATCGAAGCAAATGGTAGTAATTATGGCTTACCTCCGAAGTCTTCACTCGACATCCCTTCAAGAAACTGATCACAAATCTTAGGCAGCAGATGATGAAAAAACTGTGAACGTAAATCCGTAAGACACACGCCCAAAAACACACTTTTCTTCCCAAAGCTTCAAACACGCGCTCTCTCGGCACTCAACTTTTTTTCCACTGAAGTTGTGTACCAACATGACGAACCTAAATGCGCAAAATTGAAAATCTAAGCTAGTCTTCCCTACGTTCGTTATATTTCACCTTTCAGCAGCTGGCTCTACGTCCTGTTTACATTCATAATAGTAATTACACTCACAGATTTCTATTGTAAGATTCGTGGTGACATTTAGCTTTGAACTTAGGGTCTTTTAAATATTACACTAGAATGCTAGTGACTAAACTTTACATAATAGCCCTATTACCCGAGTGGCTGGTCTAAGAACTGAAACATTACCATATGCTTTAATTAGCTAAGCCCACAGATATGAAATGTAGTCCTACGTATAAATTGTGCTGGCAAAGAAATATTACTCATACAATACCTTCCAGTTCTGGAAGTAACAGGAGGGAAAACAGGGCTATGTATTCTATAACTTTTCTTTACTTCGGTTAAGATTGCTTGAATGACAGATTAACCTATTTCAAGGCTTCTAGCTATCTAAACTTACAATCCCACCATTTATGACATACAAGATTGTACGGCGCGTATTAAAATATTGGCATTTCTGTATAAAGTTGAAATGTTTTGTATTTCATTCTGTCTCTCCTTATAGTAGGTTCTCATTGTGCCTAACAGATGGGACTATAGTCACGAATACTAGTCCCCTCTACTGAGCAAAATCTATACTGTTTGTACCATTTTACTTGACAGCGGTATGACTCATTGTTTTAATTTAATTCAGGATTGCAAAAGTAGCTCGTATAATAACGTTGGTCCTTTTCACGTCATTTGACAGACTTTTAAGCAGACGTTCAAGCTATCATTTTGTAGTTTGATGACATTTCAGGACTTGCTTTGGAAATTTCCTGGCCTGGCTACTCTGTGCGCTGTCAGGACACTAATATTGGAGCAATATAAAAATGTTTTATTGTATATTATTATAAAATTTTTCGATATCCTTGGAACAGAATCGGAGCTGAAACACTCAGATTCTGTCTACGAATAATGGACTCACTTCATGTACGCAGATAAAAGTGTGTATTAAATGGTTTGCTACTTTCTGATCTAAAATCTGGGACAGAGAACCATCGTGAGAAATTTCACAGGTGTATGTACACACCACGCTGAACACAACGGTGTCTCTGTCCTTTCTACGGACTAGAAACGAATAAGATGGTGGAAATTTGTGTACCGCACGTGTAGACAACCTCGGGTAGACCTACTTTGGACTTCCAACAGATACACACACACAAATGCGAACGCGCTGAGGATTTAGACGGCGAGAAGAGTATAATGTTTACTCCCTTACTTGCTTCGCTACCAATCCTATTATTAAATAGATATGGTTTATTCCAAGCTGGTCTCTCTCTCTCTCTCTCTCGTCGAGGTATTACCCTGGAACATGTCTTTGCATGGATAACACTTCTCAGCTGATGTCCCGGACTGCCTGTGGGATTATAAACACCAGTGCAAGCTGCCGCTTGCCTTGTGTTGGTTGAGTTTGTTTGAAAATAGAATGATGCTTCTGATAAAGCAGCGTGCAAAGCCTCGAGACGTGGAACTGGATCCACCGATTATGGCCGCCGACCTTGTAGGGAGTGCCAAGTATGCGGACGACTCAATAAAGGAAGGAAGGAGTTTATGTCGTTCAGTGCAGCGGTGTTCATTGCAATCTAGATTTTGGTCATTGATAACGTCTCGTATCACAACACTCAGAAAGGCAAACTAAGTCTAAGTGAAGCTTCGGCAAGAGCACCGAATGGTTGTGAAGAAGATAAAATTATCTAATCTAATGCTCTCTCAAGTGTTAATTTTTAGGTTATGTGTAGTGTAGTGAAATCGACTTTCCTGTGTTACATACCGTGATGATATTTTATTTGGAGTGTCCTGTACGCGGCCTGCTGTTATCCCTTCCAGCAGTCTTCTGGTAAGTGACTCGCTCCGAGGTTCCAATTCACAAAGTTCAGCGGCCAAAAACGCTGCAACGCAGTATAAGTGGATCGATACATCGCAAATTGGCTACGAAAATTCTTTGCACTTATTCTATTGTCACGAAACCGGAAACGGACCTGCGAGACATGCGAACTCTATGATATTAGAGCTTCGTTTCGATTAAATTTGATTCAATAAAAGAAAGGAGGACAAAATCTGCATGCGATATTAATCCTCACAGCTGCAGACCGACAATCAGGAATAAGGTACTTGTCCACTGCTGAGAGTTCAACACTTTTAAAACGTAAAGAAGAACAAAGCAAAGTTTGCGGAATATTATAAATGAACAAGACGAAGTGATT